TTTTCCTTTCTGTGGTAGATTTTTTTCCCTAGTGATAAAGTACAAATAGTTTGTATTGAAAATTTAGCATATATTTAGCATCGTAAGCTTATTTTCTCATCCCTGAAGATAAATGCTGTAGCTGTTGTAATATTGCATAATTTTGGTTCAAGTCAATACAGTTGCAGAAGAATTATGATCTTTAGGGTCATTCATGTTTTCCTTGATTTTTTTTTTTTGTTTGTTTGTTTGCTTGTGTGTGTGGGGTTTTTTTTTTTTGTCTTGTCACATGCAAATGTATGTGATATTTTTCTTCTTATTTATGTGATAAAGATTTATAAATTAGGGTGGATTTGCGTGTATTTTCCCTAAGTGCAAAATCATTGCTTCCCTGTTTAAATATACCGAACTCGGAGTGCTCTTGCTCTTGGCCCAAACAGTGTTTGTGGAATATCTCAGTAAGAGGCTTCACTGACAGATGCCCGAATAGATTTTCTGCAGCAGTTTTTGACTTTATCAGTCCATTATGAAACCCCAGTTTGTTATGGGGAGAAGGCAACGCTGCATCTTATTCACCATGCAATAGCTTGTGTCTTCCATAGGCTTGCAGTGTGTGTTTGGCCGGTAGTTTGCCAAAAGCAGAAATAGATGCAGCCGTTTTAAGTCACTCCTAAGCAAATATAAGAAAGGCTTTACTTGGCTGGGACCAAGTGTGACTGGTGTGGTGTCCTGCCTCACGCTGTGGCCATGGGATCGTGCCAGGGAGGGCCTGGCACCCCTCGGTAAGGCTCGGGATGTTTCTCCTCACGTGTGTCCCGTTATGTATGGCTGCCACCTGCCATTTTATTGTCCAGTAACTCACATTTGTGGAGTCTGCAGCTCTCCTGAGAGGAACTTCTCTTTCCTTAGGATCTGGATTAATTGCCAGTTGTGTGTATTCCCCTTCCCAGGTGCCAGCGTGATTACCTGAGGAATTCCTTTGACTTTGTTAAGTGAAAGTCCCTTGGCCTTCCAGTGTTTCAATAATTTTTGAGCTGTTGCTTCCTCTTGCAAAGGTCACCAACTCTTGCAAGTGGAAAAGACATATCCAATTTCTTTCTGGCACTGGATCACGGAAAGAATTCCTAGGGAGTGAAAAGGAGTCTCCTCCTTTAAGGTCCTATAATGATAAATAACTAGGAGACAGGATGGAGAGGTCCTGTCCGTAACTTCCATGTGGAGCAGAGTGAGCTGTGGGGAGGTGCCTGTGGGCTGGAGGAGCACGTGGCTGCGTGGCTCTGGCTCTCCCTTCGCAAACAGCCAACGCTCTTGTCAGTCATGAAGAAAATAACGTTCTCTTGTCAGAAATGTGTTAACTGATTGAGTCCTGGGCTGCTTGCGCTGGTGGAAACTCAGCCTCAGCCTGCCGAGAAAGGGCTGCTGCTGTTAAAGGGTGCGTGTGGCCTCCCCACACCCAGAATGGTRCTTGGTTTTTGCTTGGAGAGAATGGCAAATTCAGAGCTCTTGCCTTCTTCTGCTGAATACAGCGAATATCTTGGCAGTTCTAAACAATAAAGTTGTTGTGTGAACTGTTGTCAGTGGGGAACCCGGTGTTATCGTGAGTGACACAAATATTTTCAGTAAAATACTTCTTTGAATAGAGTTCTTAGTCTTGTTCCAATCATTCCTCATAAGCAGAGGAGGCAATCAGCTCATTCCATAGTACTTTCTCCACATCATAGAAAGACAGTTTTGATTGTGCTAAGTCCATGAGCAAGAAGTTTTACACAACAATATTCTCTGAATCTTGATCATATTTCTTTCCTTGACTGTTAGTCGAGATGCCTTTATAACTATGCAAGTTGTATGCAAGCTTCCTGCCTCCTTTTCAGACTTTATTCTGAGGAACTTTCCTATCAAAGATGTTTATATTAAAATAGAGACTTACAGTTCTGCACACCTGAATACTGCAAAGATGCTTTAATGAGATATGATTGCATTTGCTTCTTGTCAAAATATAAAATACTTGTATTTTGAGACTGAATATTTTCAGAAGAAACAGTTTTAAAAAATCATCTAAACCATGGGCTTGCTGCAAAACAAATGCCTGCTTGCTAGTCCAACAGACATAATGAAAGGTGAGATTTTATGTAAATTGTTCCTGTAGTTCATAAATATTTACTGTCGTCACTTCAGAAGCACTAATAGTGTGTATGCAGAAAGCTGGTTTTATTTGCTTCTGTATAAATCCCAGTGATGAGGAAACTGAGCTGTGTGGCAGATTGATTGGTAGTGCTAAAATTATGTGCATATGCCCACTCACATACATACCATTTGAAAAACTAATAATGCATCACAGATGCTCTGCTATTCTCTTGTAGGGAATTAGTTTTGAAAATAAGCACTATTTATTTTAAAAGGTGGTTAGGATTCATTGATGGCTTTGAGGTTCTTTTCAGAGCTGTGTTATGATACTTCATACCGTGCTTACCCGGGAGTTGACCACATGTTACAAAAACAAACTTTAGGACACATGATACGATGCTCAATCCTGGTGTGGGTGTGCAGTGTGCCAACTTGTGGTAGATAGGGCAGTGAGATGAGTTTCTAAAACAACTTCTGGGGTTACATGCCTTTTGATTTCCACAGTTTTGATTTCCACTGTGTTCAGTCCTATTTAAGTAGCCCTGTAACTTTGAATGTTTGCATTTTCCTGGTCTGAGTCGGCATTTGGAGCATGCTTATCACCATAGTAACTTTGCATCGCTCAATCTATATGGTGAGACTCAAAAATACTGCAAGTCTTGTTTGAAGGAAGCTTGAGTTATCTCACTTAAAAGTTGTAGCAGAGAGGACTGTAATAGTGCCTTTCTCTTCCCCTTTAATTTCTACTGAATGAGAGTAAATCCAGTGCTTGTATATACTTGTGTTTATTCTCATCTTATATCTCAGCAGCTTTATGAAACACAAATGGCTTTTTATATTAAAAAAAGCTGTGATATGTACAGTTTATCTTTAAATACACTTGTTGAAATAGTCTGTCTCGGAGTATAAATGCATCAGAATCATTATGGTTGGAGAAGACCTTCAGGATTGTCAAGTCCAAGCTCAACCCCATCCCCAGCCTGCCTGCTAAACCATGTCCCTGAGGGCCCCATGTGCCCATTTCTTGCACCCTGCCAGGGACGGGGACTCCACCGCTTCCCCGGGCAGCCTCTTCAATGTTTTACCTCCCTTTCCATGCAGGAATCTTTCTGAAATACAGCTCTGTGTATTCTAACTGCAATTTTAGATTGTTCTCAACTCACCTCTATTGCTATTCATTCAACACTATTATAGACAATCCTATGAATCTCAATAAAAGCTTTTATGTTATTCAGCTTTAGGTGATAGGCTTGTTGAAAGACCAGTTTTATAACATTGCCCTTTGAAAGGTTTATTGATCCTCTGACATGCACAGGAATGGTCTTATTTCTCAAACTCCAGTGATCTGAGGCTAGATGTTCTTTGTGTAGGCTATTAAATAGWAGAAAATTTTTAATTATTTTGGCCATATTTCTGTTGTTTTGCTTGTCAGTTGCAGCCCTTGGGCTATTTCTAGACTTATGCACAAGAAGTGTTTTTTATATACTGAACAATTTTTATCAAGTTAATATAATTGACAAAGGAGTAGTTTTCTCCTTTATGGAACACCATTGTGTGTCCTTCTGTTACCTGAAATGAGACCAAACATGGCAGAGTCCTTGGGGTTTTGTAGATGCAGGATCCCCTGATGCAAATCTGGGGATCAAATATGGGGGTCTGTACAGTGTTAGCACCGTTGTAGTGAGCCTTGCTGTCGTGTACTGAGCCTGCTCTGCGCTGGTTCTGTGTCTGGCTTGTGTTACTGGTGCACARTGGCAGCCAGACGTTTCGGAAAGGGTCAATAAGTGTTGACCATCCTCTCTTTTTGCATGGACCACAATCATTACAAACATTGATAATATCTGCAGCCAGATCTCTCCAGGTAAAATTTCATATCTTCTGCTTCTTGCTAGTGTTCTTCCTGCTTTGGAAATAGCTTTTAATTCTGGGATGTTTGATATTTGCTTGATCCCCAGCACTGTGTTTGGCTCAGAGGGGCTCTTCCAGCCAAGCTGAGGGCTTGATGGGGAAAGCRGAATGTGTGTTGACAACAGCTTGGGTTACTAACTGGGGAAAATAATGGCTAATGGAGCAGGAGAGAGCAAATTACACACCTCGCTGCTGCCTGGAGTGGCCGGGGAATTTGCATCTAGATCCCAGAAAAAAATGTCTGCCATGTGGTTATTTCCCTGCGAAGTGGGGTGGAGGTGGAAGAGGGCAGGAGGAAGTCTAAGCAGGGAAGAAGGAATGATTTGTTGCAGACCTTTGCTGTAAACTGAATACTTTGATGTTTAAAAAAAAAGGGGGGGGGTGGGAATCAAGGAATATGATGCTTCTTGGATACATAGTATTTTGTTGTGATAACGTAGTTGTTGCAATGAAAAACAGGATGGACTTTTATTTAAAAAAAAAAGAAAACAGAAAGAGACAGGAAAGAAAGGTTTGGATACTGGCTCTGGCATAAGCTGGATTCGGTGGATTGGAAGTCACCTTCTGCACCCACCTTGTGAAGGTGTGATGCCAGTACCTGATCTGAAAGTCATTTCAGCCATAAATTCCACAGGAGAGCTCTGTGCAGGTTTCTGAGGAAAAGAGTTAAAACAAGGAACTGTAGATGCCTCACTATGGTCATCCACTTGTATTCAGTGGTAGAAGCCACTAAGGAAATTAAGTAATGGCACCTCTAGTATGTGACAGCTTATGAACAATAACTTATTATAGCTATCATGAAAGCAGAGAATATATTAAGAATATAGTTTCAMCTTCAATCCACATTTCACAACTGATGCTTTAAATCACATCCTYCAAGACCGGGAATAGTTTGGGCTGTTTTAAAACTTCAGTTCCTTGACTTGTCGTGTATCTGTTTTATTTAAAAGATTTTCTAAGCATTTTTTTTTTCTTGTTCTAATTTGCAGCACTATTTTACTGTTCTTTTTGGCCATGAAGGGCAGAAGCCACTGGAGCTCCGTTGTGAGGATGAAGTTGATGGAGATGAATGGGTAGAAGCTATCCACCAAGCKAGGTATGAGTCTGGTCATTTATTGTTAATAAATTGTTAATAATTTGAAAGTCTAAATCTGTTCTCTAACATGCAACATATTTGTACAATGCATTAGATGGATATTGTTTGCAATCCAGAGGTATGCTATTGAAAAAGTGCCTTTATGAGTTCTGCTTGTCACACTGTTTTACCATTTGCAAATGATTATGCTCTGGATGAAATTTCTTCAAGAAAGTGTTATTGGAAGCAGAACTGCTAGGATTAGTTCTCTTTTAAGGGAAGAATATGTTAAAAGAAATGTCACCTGACACTTAAATGAGTAAATGGATGTTTCTTAAAAAGATTCCTATAGAAATGAATATACAAGGGAGATAAAATCATAATTACGATAAAATGCCACAAGTAAAATTCTATCTCTAAACTGAGATTCTGAGTAATATTCGATATTAAAAGGTCAAATTTTGTAAATAAGGRCATGATAGGACTTCGGCAGCACAGTACTCCACGTAGAAAAGGTCGAAGTGGTGGGTAGGGGAGGTTTGCAGTGTAACGTCGACAGAAATCATATAGCCCAGGCTTTGGGGAGCAGCAGCAGAGGCGAATGTCTCTGCCGAGATGCGGTTCCTGCAGCCTCCCTGCCCGGCTCTAACCTCGGCTAATCTGCACTGCCATGGTAACGCGCCAGGAAAGAGGCAGTTTCCGAGTTGCCTAGGACCTGAGCCACATTAACACAAGTGATTTTGCTTTAGAGTTGGAAACGAGCAATGCCAGCTAGTAGCTTTAGTTTAGACTCTGAAATTATACCTGGAAGCTCTAAACCTTCTGTTCCTGGCATCCAGTCTTTGTATCCCTACCCTCTTCTGGGTAAAGGTGCCTAAAGGAGCAGGTCGCATCCTTTCTTGGGAGACGTTTGCTGGGCTCTGGTATTAGATCAGCTACATTTTGTGGCTCTCATTTTGTGTGTGCTGGATAATTATTTACTTAAATGTTGGATCCATTGTCAAAGATACATCAAAGAAATGAAAACAATAATTTTAGACTATTGCATACAATTTTTCTTGCCAACTTAACAAAATAAAACTGCAATTTTGTCCCAGAGATTAAATTTTGCCTTTACTACCAACTTAGATTTTTTTTTTTTCCCCTTGGTTTGGTCTGTGTTCTTGGCCTATGTGTTGAACTTTTAAAAACAACTTTGGTGCCATTGTTCCTTTGAGGCATAATGCRTCTCTGACCCTGCTCTCAGCTTTTTGGATTCTCTTACTAAGTGACTATTTGTCTAGCATTTTGAACATATTTTAACTTCTCAAATACCTTTGGGTAAAAGTTCTGTGAGATACTGAGAATGTTCCCCAATGCTTAAATTGGAAATAGTCCTGAGAACATCTTGTTCTGTGTGATATGTTGGAGTTTGTGAAGCATATTGCTTTCTGGAGGATCTCATCTTCGTGTGTAGCTCTGGTAATCCATGTTTTATCTGAGACAGAGTAGCTGAGGGTGGCTTCTCTTTGAGGGTTTGCAGAGGAGGTAGCTGTTGTCTTTTTTTTTCCAATTGGCATATTAAAAAAAAAATTTTTTTTGGTCAAAGTTGTGTTTGCAACCATCAAAATGTATTCCATGTTGTATTTAATATGAAAATTACATATTTGCAAAACAACCCCTGGAGTCCCACTGGATACTGTATCCCACTCTTGTAAATAGACGTTTTATTTGCTGCATGTTCATAGCTAAAGCATTTTCTGTTGTGGCCTTGTCCATTCCCTTTGGAAGACTTTCCTGTGGATGGGCCGCTGCCACCGCTAGTGACGCGGGAGGTGCTGTGTGTGCCCCTCAGGTGCCCACAGGCTCTTGTTTGCTGAGGCGAAGCCCTGCAGGGCCCGTGTTCCCCTCCATCGGGACCCTCCCCTCCGCTGSAGGCTTTGTTTGGCTCTCAGAGTTTGCTCTGGGATTTGTAATTCAATATATTTTTCTGAGACTGCATTATGAGCTCCGCATGTCTCCCTGCTTTGCAGGCCTTCCCATGTTACTTGAATTCTCAGTGTTTTGAGTTCTCAGGAATATCCGGCAGAGCGGCAGAATAGGACTTAGTTCTTAGGCCTTGTTGGGTTGGTAGGCTTGCTCTTGACACATCCAAATTCCTCAGTCAGTGGCTGGAAACTCAGTTTTGGACTTTTGTTCCAGACCTTGGTCTCTTCTCAAGAACTCTGTTTCACTCCCCATATCCTGGGGCTGACTTTTCACCTTTTCTTACTAACCACTCTCTGATTTTATGATTATTTTTGGAAACAGTTGAAAAAATCTGTATTTGTTTTAGATTTTTACACTGCTGCAGTAGTAAACAAATATCTTGGCCTTTTCTTTTTCACTTGAGCTTACTGGAAAGTCTGAAGTGTTTCCGGCTGGTATGCTTTAGACCTGCATAATCTGACACTGCTCCCGAAAGAAAAAGCTGCCGTTACTCCTAAATCAGCCATTTATTCCCACACCTTTGCCACCCCTTCCCACAGGCCGCCGCAAGTGTGAACTTAACTGGGAAACTGAATGGCCTTAAAATGATTTATATTTTGTTCTTTTTTTTTTTGCCATCTAATTTAATCCATCTCAGTTCTCTGGATCTTTTCACTGCACATCCACGCTGCCCAGGGGAAGGGTAACACATGGTGGGATGTGGGAGATTGCTGTGGGAGACAGGGACGGGAGTGCTGCGCTCAGCCGTCCAAAGCATATGCGAAACTGCTGCCCTCTCACTTCTCAAAAAGTGGCTTGCCCTTCAGTTTTGGGCAATGTAGGGAGTTTTCTTGCATGGAAATCCTGCATGTAAGATTTTTGTAGGCAGGTGCAAAGCCAGCAGGTTATCTTGGGGCTGCCTGGGAGCCGGGAGCAAGTGCCCTGCTGCTGAGGACTTGCTGATAGAGAGAATATATGCTAGAGTAACCACAATTTGGTGGTTTCCAGTTGGCTAGGAGTAGACCCAAAAGAACTTGAGTAATAATCAGATCATGAAATCAAGCTTATATCTGCCATCAAAATGATGCTTAGCTTAGGCACATCTTGGTACAAAGCATTGGGGTGGTTGAATCTGTACCCCGRTAGCGGCAAGGCCGTTTCTCCCATCACACAGGTCAAACCAGGAGTGGGACTCAGACACCCCTTGAACATCAATAGTCTCCTTTATTTGAAAATGAGTGCCATTCTTCCAGTATGGTGCTCATCACTGCTGTGGTTGTGACATATAACTGCACTGGAGATACCATTTCCCTTGCAAGGGAAATATGTATGAATGCCAAGCTGCCAGGAAGAAGCCTAAAGAAAGGACTGATAGCATGTTTCCTGTTGTATAAGATACAATTTATTGGAACGATCCCAAACTGCCCTACATACCAAAATTCCTAATAGCAAACCAAAATACAAAAAAAAAAAAAAAAAGTTGAGAGTTGCAGAAAGAGATCTGACAGCTGGAGAGTTAGAAATAGTTCTGATTACGAGTTGGATGTTGGTAAAGGGAGGAGAGAAAATCCAGCTCTTAATGAAAAATAAATAAATAAAATTGAATGAAAAAAGTTTTTGGCTTAGCCTGAGAATGAATAAAAAAAAAAAAAATCTGGTAATCTGTACTCTGGTGTGGAGCAACTCTTGTGTCTAAAAAGAGAATGTTGACAACTTTATAGGTTTGGATGATTATGAAAAAGCTATTTATCATTTATTAAAGAAAACACRATTTTGAACATTTCTTTTACTTATCATTGGTGTAATGTTTACTCTGTTGATATTTGATAAGTCAACATTTGCTCTTTTTACTAGTTTAACTGTTTTTCATTTCAGTTACTCAGATATTCTGATTGAAAGGGAGGTGTTAATGCAGAAGTATATTCACCTTGTCCAGATTGTGGAGACTGAGAAGATTGCAGCCAACCAACTTCGACATCAACTTGAAGATCAAGACACGGAAATTGAAAGACTTAAATCTGAGGTATGTGCTGGAGTCATCAGGCAGTTGTTACATTTTAATATTTTTCTGTGTATATCTCAATCATTGCCTATATTGCTGTAATATTTGAGCAAATAGCCCCAGTAAGAAAAGCTGTAATATTTCTCCTAGGAACGTTTGACCAGATGGTTTTCTTAGAAGTATTGGTGACTGTTGAGTTTATTGGTTTACATCACCGTTAGAGAATTGAGATGACATATTGCTTTGCAGTGTGGATACAGTTATTTCCTACCTGTTTGCACACACAGATTTTAAAGCATTTATTTGGTCTTGGTACCACAGCCTTTGGTATTGTAGAATATTTCACTGAAAGTTAAACATTTTGTTGCAGTTCTGACCTGTTAAGGTCTGAATGACACATTTGGCTTTGAAAGGAGAGCCATCTTCTTGTTTTTCGTCTATATTGAGATATTTGTTGGTTTGGAGAAAACTCTGCCTCTGCGACCAAATGCATGCTTGTCATTCCATGCAGCTTTAGTGGACTCTCAGAAGAGTTCTCAAAGAAGGGAATGTTATTTTTCTGTTTGTTCTGTAACTGTTTCAACTTGAAAAGGCATTTAATGAATTGTTATTTTTGTCAGATTGTAGCTCTCAATAAAACAAAAGAACGAATGCGACCTTATCAAGGCAACCAGGAAGATGAGGATCCAGATATTAAAAAAATTAAAAAGGTAAACCTGCCGTATTCTGTGCATTAAAAGAGAAAGCTGGCATAGGGGATGTACTAGTATATTTTAATTTGTTGAATTTTGTCTCCAGTTATTGTTCTGTCAAGTACACTCAGATATCGAGATTCCTTTTGCCCTATACCTGCTTAAATCACTTAAATTACATCAACTTCATATGCTACAGTGGCATGTTTATTCTGTGGTATATTTGTTATTTAAGTAGTCATCCTTACTTGCTATATATATATTCATTTTTTTAATGCAATTTGTACTTTGCCTTCAATTGCTTGTAAACACTGAAACTAAGCCATGAAGTGTTTGCTGTGGGAACCAAGATTATAGTGACTTTATTCTTTCTCATAAAAAATAGTTGTAAAGGTGTAAGAGAATGACTGATGTCCCTGCGGTGCAGCTGGAATGCAAATATTCAAAATGCRGAGAGTAGTGGTATTTAGGTTGTCCTTTAGTCTGTTTGATAAGGATTGTTCTAAGATTGTATGACCAGTGTTGAAATAACAATGCCTGACTTTTGGCTTGGTTCATATAAGTAGAATGTTGTAGTAGAAGCCAGAAACACCTCCTTTTAGTACCAGGAGGTTCTGTTTCTGTATGTAACTCATTGTGTTCTGTATCTGGACAGTTGTGATCAGTTGGGCCTGTTTTTGAAGCAGTTTATTTAGAATCACGTGACAAGTGGGATTTTGCATTTCTCTTTCAAGATGAATGATTTGCACACCATGAACAAAGATGTACTTGAGTTTTTTGTGACCAGAAGTGGACCTCCTCTGTGATCTTTAACCCAGTTTTAGCTTGAATGGATATTGCGCTCGAGTACGTTCTCTATTGCTTAGAGACACCTTTTAAAAAGAGCAAAAATAKGTCTTTTCTGAAAAACAGCACTGCTGGCCTGAGTGTCTGACATTAAGCAGTGTAGCCCTAAGTGCACATGCTAAATGGTATCTGTGAAGAACAGAAAGCAAATGGAGTTTAACAGCTATTTCAGAGTTATCTCAGCACCAATACGAAAAATGCCATGAGATGTCATATGTGAGAACTTTGCATAAGTTCAAGGCAGAGGTAAARGATGAGAAATGTTTAATGAGAAGTGAAAGGAATTTGAGAGAAAAAAACCCCTAGCACTTATGCACAACAGTTGTGCTGACAGAGAAAATATATACAAAGATAGAATATTTGAGCTTAAAGTAGGAGAGACCTTGACRACGTGCATCTTTACCACCTGTTTTCTGGCAGCAGATATTAGCAAATGCTTGGGCAGTTTCTATTAATAATTAGAAATCTGAAAAAGAAAAATGCAGGCAATAAGCATACTGGGCAACAAGTTTGTTTATTTTTAATAAACACACTTTATTTAAAAAGTTATTTCCTCAGTGAAAAGCTTGTCAGAAAACATGTATTTTTTTTTTCCCATTCTTCATTTCTTTTTGATTTTTTAGGTTCAGAGCTTTATGCGGGGCTGGTTATGTAGAAGAAAATGGAAGACAATTGTCCAGGATTATATTTGTTCTCCCCACGCAGAAAGTATGAGAAAAAGGAACCAGATAGTTTTTAACATGGTTGARGCTGAATCTGAATATGTGCATCAACTTTATGTTCTTGTGAACTGTTTTCTGAGGCCCTTAAGAATGGCTGCAAGTTCAAAGAAGCCACCTATCCGTCATGATGATGTTAGTAGCATTTTCCTTAACAGGTATCTGGCTTTTTGTTTGCTCTGTTTTGWTTTTCCTTTTTCCTTGCTTGTGCTCATTCTTCTTTTAGTTAGTAAAGTTTGGCACCTGCTTTTTAGTTCTGATATCAATGTGAGGTAAACCATGTTTCCTTGGGTAAAAGGTGAGGTGCAGTCTGTGATGCTGTTCAAAGCCAGTTTTTGCATCTTTACATTCTACTTCTTCCTCTGCTGCAGGAAGGAGATGACAAATCATGCCTCATAGGGCAGTCTTTGATTTTTCTTATCACCTTTTCTATTTCCCCTCCTCCTAGGAGAGCAAAAATGGACTTAGTGGCCTCATGGTCTTGATAAGAACCTGTGATGGATATGTTAAATTATCTTGTTACATCTTCCTAAGTCATCTACTTCTCTCACYTGTCTTTTCATATCTTTACAAACAAAGATGGTTCTTTGCATTATACACCCAAATCCTATAAAAATGAACATGTGGAAGTRGGCCAGCAGGCTTATGGAATTCTCTGTAGGTTTGGAATTGCATCCATGYCTGCCCCCAACTTTTAGGAAAAATACCTTATTTATGAAACTTTTGTAACTCATTTAAGATCCCTCTGCTYTTGGTGGTTTCACTTACAGGTAGAGGTCTCAAATGCTGTTTCTATCACTTYATGAGATAAGGTGTAGTATTAAGGCTCGTTTTCTAGCAGAATTGTAAGCTACATTCAAATCTGTGAGAGTGGCAAGTGAGAAGAGAACCACCGACTGAGCTTTCAGTATCTTCTTAATCCTCTTAAACAAGTGAATGTGTTGTCAAGGATATTTTTGGAACGTGTTTGAACTGTGGAACATGTTATTCAATAGATGCTTTTAGTTAAAAGAATGGAGTGATTAGAAAATGTTTGAACACCAAATGCTGTATGTTTTCTAAGATGCTATACTAAAAATTTAAACAATATAGTCAAATAGAAGCATTGATTTCCATGATAAGGAGAATCTTCTGCCTTCTATTTTTTTATAGCAAACTACAAAATATACTAATGAAAAGAAGGGATATTTTTTGGTGAATTATTAGTTAGAAAATAGAATTTGAATTGTATTTTTGTTTCTTTAAATACTTGTTTTTCAGTGAAACAATCATGTTTCTTCATGAAATATTTCACCAAGGTTTAAAAGCAAGAATAGCTAATTGGCCTACCTTAATTTTAGGTAAGTTAATATAATTTCTTTACTTTCATAATTATTTTTGCAGTTACMGTGATTTTTAATTTTTAAAGACTTCTTTTTGAATGGAACTCATTGCCAGAACTAACATTGTGTCACGATGTATAGTGGGAATTCCATGTTGGCAATAATAATAGCTCTCTTTAAATCCATATATGAAAATATTTTTGGTTTAGCCTCAGTCCTAAGCTTCACCTGGGGTCCTGAATTTTCAGTGGTGTAATTTATCTGCTACCTAATCAGAATAACATTTTTTTGTTAAGTAGAAGAACTAATTTTCTAATATCTCAGTATAATGAAAGCGGAACAGATTCTGTTAATTTACTTCCATAGAGTATGGTAGATTATTTTTTTAAGAGATATTTCAAGAGATGAGTAGCTGGAAAAAAAAAAAAAAAAAACATTTCTTGACCTTTTCTAGCTGACTTATTTGACATTCTGCTGCCAATGCTGAACATATATCAAGAATTTGTTCGGAATCATCAGTATAGTCTGCAAGTGCTGGCAAACTGTAAGCAAAACAGAGATTTTGACAAACTCTTGAAGCAATATGAAGCCAACCCAGCATGTGAGGGGCGAATGTTGGAAACTTTCCTTACCTACCCGATGTTTCAGGTAGTCTCTGTAATTTTTTTTGTTTGTGTGACTGATTATTTTTATGTTCAGTTGAATTGTTTTGTTACTGAAAATATAATTGATTGGAGATTCTGCTTGCWTAATTAAAAATATTCTTATGGGAATTAAGTTAGTTTTTTTTTCATTTATTTCATTATTATCCTGAAACTCTGTGCCTGTAGAGACCTTTTCTCCAGCTACACTGATTTAGCTCTATTCAGCATATGTTCAAGAGGAATGAGGAGTTGTGCCAAAACAAAAAGCAAACAAACAAAAAGGAAGAAAAGCTTAAAAGCAAATTCTCTGCTTCTGCTCTGCTCSAGGCTTATGAATCAATCCAGGGGGTTTATGTACCTGATGTAGTGAGTTAGAGCCACTATGAGCATTTTGTTGGGCGTGTGCTTTGGAGTCTTTTTCATGCCCTGTTCTCCAGTAACCTGGTTTGAGGGATTTAGAAATAAAAATTTTATTGAAAGAGTTTTAAAGAAAAATTATTATCCTTTTGGTATCTTTGTCTTGATTCTGTTGGCTTGAACATTTTCAACTCTTTTAACAGGCCTTCGAATCACTATTCTGATGATTTTGTAGCTTTTACATTTGGCAAAGTTATTAGASACCTCCTCAGTTTGTCCACTTAATGACAAACCACATGTATCCAATACAAAAGGGCTTGTTGTCACTTCAGTTTGTGCTAATTAGCCAAATTAACCATTGCTGTCTGTWGTAATACATTTGCTCGGCTTTGAGCTTGTGTTGGGGAAAAAATTGTGGATGTTTTGTTTGACCTGAAACAAGTTCATGGGATCCTTAGAAAGTGGAGAGAAAGTCCTACAACAGAAATGTTCAGTATTTTTGACATTGGTTATAGCTAGAATATATTTATCAACTTAACTGTTGTTATCTATTGAAAAAAAAGACYCTGAGTCTTTTCTGACCAGGATAAAAGGGAATGAGAGATTTTGCAATTATTCCCTAAAGTTATTTGCTGATGCTGTCTTTAATTTTTTTAAGATCCCTAGGTATATTATAACACTTCATGAACTTCTGGCTCACACACCACATGAACATGTTGAGCGAAAAAGCCTAGAATTTGCTAAATCTAAACTAGAAGAACTTTCAAGGTAAGATTTTTTTTTTCCTTTTTTTTTTTTTACCCCCATAAATATACCAGCGTCCTCTCTGTATCCCCCTTGTATGTTGGGCAGGGAAAGAGTTACTATAGAAACCACCTACCCTTGCGTATGAACAAAGCAATTTTGTTTAAATAGAAAAGACTTTTTTTTTAATGAAAAGCTATGCAAGAAAAAAATAATTTCCCATGACAATAGGAAGCAGTCAGGGTCTCAAACAGTGCTCAGTTGTTCATCTATGGTGTGATTCATATGCATAAATGAAATAATTCATTTTTACATATGCTTTAACAATAAATACAGAGGAGCTAAAGATCCTGGTAACCCCATACAGTACATATATAAATGTATATATATGTGTGTGTGTGTGTATATATACACACACATTTTTTTCTCTAAATTGGTGCTCCCTGTGGAATGGATCTCTTCCCTGTGCTTCCAGACCCTTCTCAGACTTTCTCTGTGTCGGTCCAGGAATAAATTTGTTCGTTCTCTCTGAAAAACACAACTTTATGCAGCGAACCAAGTGCTGCATGGACTCCAGAATTATGATATTTATCTCAAATTTCTGAAGTTTTGATACTTCACCAAATGAGTCYTTGTGAAATGCATGGTTGTGAGAGTGTTTTTTATACTTTTTGTTAATTGGAAGTTCTTGACTGCTGCGTTTTCTTTTGCTATTCAGTTAACGTAGCTATATGCACTACCCAGTGATTTGGGGTTTATTTTTCCCTTTTTTGTCTTGCTCTCTCTCTTCCACAGGCAGYTTTCCGAGTCATATGCAGGTCATGATCTGCCACTTCTTTAAGCTCTTATCTTCTCAGAGAGTTGACAGGTGGTACCTCTTAGRGATGTGTATCTCTCTGATTCCTGCAGTGTCTGGCAAGTTCCTCCTCCTCTGATGCCATTTGAAGTAGAGAGGAATTCTCTTTCCCGCTCGGGCAGAGCACACGATTTCTTTTGGCTAGGGCTATGTGCACGGGCCCATCAAGCAGTTTTGGCTCTGCTCTATCTCATCAGTCAGAGTTCGTTAATGATCTTAATCTTCCAGTGAACATCCAGACTTGTAGGCTCAAATTGATTGATCCTCTTCAGCTCACAAGGCAGATGGTGTAGACCATGAGATTAGAAACCTTGTGTTTCATTTCCATGTCTTTAATGTAGTTCTGAGGGAAGAGATTCAGATACTGCAATCTGGCACCAGTTCAGGAAAATATGGATCATGACACCATGTAAACCTCTGTTGATTTCATCCTTGAAAAAGACTCTATTTCTGTGTATGGGGAGGATGCCTATGAAAAGAAATAGAAGAAAGTAAGAGATGATCTGTTGAGGCTGAGATTGTTATTTAAACTGAAGTGCAATATAGCAGGAACTTAAGGGCAGGGACTCTAAAATGTATTACAACTATTACAAAGAGCTAGGAAACATTTCCAGTTTTCTGTGAAACTAATCTACTTAATGGTCAAGAAGAACTACTCCAGCAGCCGCAAAGAACTTTCTGTTTGGTGACATCTGTCATATTTTCCCAGGAAAAGTATAAACCAGGTCTGACAAAATTGGTTCCACTGGTCAAAATTAAGTAGTTAACTGGTCCAAATTAAGACTGCAAGAATGATTTGAAAACAAAATAAAACAAACAACTTGCAAAGCTTTTTGGTTTTGTCAAGAACTGCTTTGACTGCTTTTCTGTTGCTGGAAACTTGTTCTAAAACAATCATGTGCTGCAGTACATCTGTTTTGTAGCGGATGCGGAAGGATGTTACCTGTACGTGTCTGCAGACTGTGAGCAGAAGTGAACGACAGGCCAAATTGGGCAAGATGCATGTCAGGGAATTAAAAGCCTGCTGTATATTGTGTCTGACAGGGTGATGCACGATGAAGTGAGTGACACAGAAAACATCCGGAAGAATCTAGCCATAGAAAGAATGATAGTAGAAGGCTGTGATATATTGCTGGATACCAGCCAAACCTTTATACGCCAAGGTAAGACCTTCTTCTTCAAAGCTATCAATGTAAGAATGAAAAATTTCCTTAAAAAACCGAGGGGTTCATGTTGTCATCATTAGGAAGATTATACCGCTGGGCACAATTAACCTGAGGGCTCCATTTACACATAGGGTAAATCACAAAATACCCCTGGTGACAATTGGTTTGGGGCTGTAGCTGAGCCACACTTCTGCGCTGGTTTGTATCAGGAGCCATGAGAAGCAGCAGCACAGCAAGAGTAAAGTACCCGTGGGACAGTAATGTACATCTTGACTGGACTGTCATCATCAACAGAACAGAAATTGATGGTAGCTCCACAGAAAACAGGACTTAACTGCTCAGTTAACATTGCAATCAGAGCTCATGCCCACTTTTGGGCAAAAGCTTAGGAGAAGTTTGAAGCTTTGTGTGTATATATATATATATATATATATATATATATATATACACACACAAATATATAGTAATATATATATTGTAATATTATATATTTAGCAAAAAGAGAGAGAGAAAGGCATACTTCTCTTGTTTTTGGAAATAAGTTCCTACTCGTGTTTATGTACAGTGGAAAAGGAATATATTGTTAAGTTCTACAAAGTTACAATAAAATCGCTATCCATTGAGAATGATCACCTTTTACCAAGTAAATGTAGTATCAGCTTTCAGTACTAAGCTAGTGGTAAAACAACATTACCTTAACAGTAAAACGTCAAAACATGGGAATGCATGGTTGCATTCAGAGGCTTGTTTCTCCTAATTTTAGGTAAGAATTTACCTCTGAATATTTTGTAACAAGCTAGTGGGTGTGTATGCAGTACCTACAAACATGTAACAAGATTTTTTTCAAACTGAAAAATGTTAGAGTAGGTTGGGAATGTAGTTTAGATGCCTCCGTTTATGAGGCCTGTTGTAGACTGAGTAGGATAATGTTTACGGAATACGCTATTTGAATACAGCCATCTGCAAAGTGGATCTTTAATAGGTTTTATATTCATTTTGAAATCTGTTCCATGATGATTTTTCAGTCATTGGGCCACTAGTATGAACTGTTGCATAATAACTTGCAAGACTATTGTACAACAGTCACTTTTAATTGATTCTTTGCTAAATTGCTTGTTATAATTGAGGTATGTGAAAAGATATAAAGGTTGCTTCCAGAAAACTATGCAGCTATTGTGTAATTGTCCTCAACTTACTTGTACTGTGCAATTTAACAGTGCAGTAGGCTTTTTTCAGTATGATTGTAGTATTTTGGATTTATATATTGGTTGTTTTATTTTTCTTAAAATTGGGCTACTGTAATTGTTGTATTTGAACAGAGGCTAATGGAATGATTATTCTGGCAGGACTGAAGTACTGAAAGTACTTAGATTTGCAGCTGGATAAAAATTCCTGAGATTACACTGRTTTTACAAGCCATGCTATTAATGAACATTCTAAAATTAGCCTCACTTGCTTGTTACATCTGTAAATTGGCCAGTCATGCCAGTCATACTCATTTTTTTCCCTTAAGAGGAAATGTGGAGTAGTATTTATGGCAGTTAATTGCTCGGTTTCATTAATCACAAAAGCTTGACAGGAATATACAACAACCTCCTCGCTGGATGAAGCGCTTGCAGGAGATGTGTTTCTCTCTGTAAATAGTAGGTCCTTCAATATCAAAGGGACATCACACCATCTCTTTGTTTCCACATTTAAGAACTGTAGGGATTTTTTGGGTTTTATTTTTTTGGTTTGCCTTGTTAAAGAGGCAGCTCTTTACAAGTGTAACATTTAACCTGCAGCCTGTTTTGACAGAACCCAGTATGGTGTTCCTGAAAGCACCCCAATAAAAACAGGGGAAAAAAAAGTTGGAAAAAAAGTGAGTTCCAAAGGTATATCTGTATGCACATCATACTTATAGGTGTGTTTATTTAAAGAAGCAAAGCAGAGTGCTCTTACCTTAATTGTGCAGAGGAGTTTCAGGAGATAAGATGATGTTAAGACCTCTGGCATGGGAAGTTTGCTCAAGAATTTATTTTAACATACTGCTTGGCTTTGCACTGAGAGCTATCAATGCCACATAGGAAAATCAGTTTCAACACATGGAGATGATCTTTTGTGATCGTTCGCGGTTGAGGCAGGTAGTCTATTTTCTCCAGGGAAATGTACAGCAACCAATCACTTTTTTCTGGTTAGAATGTCAAAAATGTTCCCCATGTACCAATTTGTAGAACTATTTTAATCTCCACTATTCTGTTGCAGACAAAAGTTATGTCATACGCATTTAACTTGAATGTAAATGGCTGTTAAAGAACACTAGACTGTTGTAATTCTCTTTTTACCAATGCATATTTTGCTATGCTGGACAGTGTAAACTTTATATATTTTATACTAGCTTAATACTAATTATAATGTGTGTTCAAGGAAGGTAAGTATGGAGAAAAATATTATCTCAGTCTCAACTTTCTTTGTACTACTTAGTTTAATAATGTGTGTGTGAACTTTGAACCAGAGTTTTTCTTGTCAGCATAGGGTGAGAATTGATAAGCTAATAATTAACCACATGAAAAACTGTTTCAAGCTTGCTCTATTTTAAGATGTCACTGATAGGACAGAGTCCAATATCTTGCTGTCTGAAAGGGGCAGGCCAATTTCCCTACCCTCACACTTGTTCTGCATTGCCCTTGCTTTGCACCATTGCTGGTGTGTGTGTGACCATGCATGGAGCCATATCAGGGAGCTCAGACACCTGCCTTTTTGTAGTGTTTGTTTAGTTCTCTTAACTAGCTCAACTAGCAAGTGTAGTCAGATGAAAGCCAACGTAAGGGAGAGAGTAAAGATAGATGTGGAGGAATGAGATTAAGAAGTTCTGGCTRCTCTTCCTGGGAACAGCAAGTTCTATCATCAAATCTCTCCCTTCGATGTATAGAGGAATTGTGGCTCAAATGTAACAAATGTGGCTCTGGATCCACAATTAGAAGTGGTGTTCCTGGTGTATCAACATGCAAAAGTTGGTCAGAGGTTGGTTTTGAGGATTAAAACAGCATAGTTTTCCCCGGTCTGGAATGCTGTGGAGGAGAAATTCAGGCTTACGTAACTAGTCTCGGTTTAGCTCAGAAGCATTCTGCTGGTAACACGTTTTAGATGATTGTAGAGCACTGAAAAGTGTATATGCCAGGAAGAGGGAACCTGCTTTGTTTCAATCACTCACGTGCAGATGCACATACAGAACCTGCAAAACATGTTTTCATTTTCTCTCTCTCCTGCTTGAATGTCAGGTACTTTTTTTTTCAAATCCAGAAGCTATTTCAAGTGATGCAAGGCGAATTTGCTGCTTTGTTTCCTTTTCTGACCAGTGTGTTCATGGTATGCTTAAATTGCATATGAATTTACCAAAGATCTAGTCCTGGCTTGGGCACAAATATTTGTCTGGACTGTGCTTGCCTGTCTAATCTAAGTCTGTTGTTGCAAGGTCAGATTTATTAGTTCCATTAAAAGTACAAATCTGTTGTCCCAAACTTGACCTAAAAAAAAAAAAAAGAGAGAGAAGGACTTGTGCTTAGAAGAGATGATGATGTATGTTGATAACTACTAGAATGAAGAGCTGCATGAATTAAAGTCATGGTTATTACATTGGTATTAACACTTTAAGCATTACCTACTGACTGTTTTTATAGTTACAGTGTATTTTTCATCTTTATTATCAGGTTCCCTTATTCAAGTCCCTTCAGTTGAGAGGGGAAAACTTAGTAAAGTTCGCCTGGGATCACTCTCTTTGAAAAAAGAAGGAGAAAGGCAGTGCTTCTTATTTACAAAACACTTCTTAATTTGTACTAGAAGTTCTGGAGGAAAACTGCATCTGTTGAAGGTAGGGATTTAACATTATGGCTCTGTTTACAAAATGAAAATAATAATAAAAAAAMCTCAAAACAGCTCAGTGAATAATATTGGTAAATTATGAGAAATTTCAATATTTTATGTTCTTATCCTGAGATTTTYGTGTCTTCCTGTAAACAGAAGTGAGATGATGCATAGTAATTAACTGCCGTATTTTCTTCATTGTTATGTGAGGAGCAAAAAATATAATTCAGCCAAAATTCTTACTAACTAAATATTTTGCTTTTTGCAAGGAGAGGTAAAACTGGAATTCTAAGATTTTGAGGAGTTAGAAACAGGACATTAGCATTTGTAGCTGTTTATGAGCTAGCACTGAATGTGTGTGAGCTTTCAGTGCATAAGTCAGGCAGTCCAACTCAATGCAGTTACCAGGGGATATTTTACAGATAAGTAACAAATCTCATTAAAAAGGGCAGTTTTATTTTCCTGAATTTTCTTTTTTTATAAGAAATTTCTAAGCACATTCTCTCTCTCTGTGTCTCTGTGTGTGTGTGTGTGTGTGTGTGTGTGTGTATATATATATATATATAAAAGAAATTTCTAAGTAATTTCTAAGGTGGGAGTGTATTAGAGAGTCTCAGAACAGCTTATATGCTTTTTCATTTTGTACTTTTTAAATAGCTTAAATATTTCACCAAGTAAACTAAATGCAACTGAGCCTTTACAAAGATCTTGTATTGGGTTTACATTTAGGAGAAGATGCTAAAATTTGGTTATAGAAAATTGTGAACAAGTCTGTAYGTGAGATAAATTGCAGTGTGGTAAAAATGAGAATTTTTGCACGTGTAAATACATTATTGAACTGTTTTGTTAAGTGCTAAATATATCTAACATATCTCGAGTTTTATTTATTGAGGGAAAATGGACATTGTGAACTTGATATATCCTCCTAAAAGCTTAGAAATTTAAAATCTCTGAGAAATATATCAACATTTAAAGAAAACTGTAATAAGAACTGGAAAATATGTCTAAATTTTTTGAAAAAATGTGCTTTATTTTCATAGACAGGAGGTGTGCTGTCTTTAATAGAGTGCACGCTGATTGAGGAGACAGAAGCAAGTGATGATGATTGTAAGTTACATTGAGCCATTTGCAGTAATTACAGTTCTAAGTAGATTCTTAGATTCTTAAAATTACTACCTTATATAGCCTTTATATAGTTACGTACTTGTTCATGAAACTAGAGAAACACAGTGTTTAAAACCCCATTCAGTAGGTTTTTGTCCTGACTTGAATAAAGTTTGTTTTGTTGTATTTGCTTTTGATGTTGACATCTCATATAAGGTATTTAAGTATATTGGCTGAAGCAATGTAGCAAATTATTTTCTGACTTTTATATAAGAATTCATTAAGAGGATCTTAAAAAGAAAATAATGGATATGTCTTGAAAGAAGCAGCAGATAATTTGGTTTCTTAACTACATGAAGGTTGAGAGAGTTGGCAGAATTAGTGGAAATTTTTTTCTTGGACTCCYTACAGTCCTTGACTGCAACCTTATTCCAGTGAAATAACAAAATACATTCTCAAGCTGATCTTATTTTTTATTAATGTTGGCTCCTAACCCACAGTTCTAGGCATGAATTGCATTTGAACTGTGAAACTAGTTCCATTAAGTTCAGTGATGCTTCTTATGTGCTGTGAACATATCAGCAGTGCGCATAGAAGTTTTCAAAGGAGTTAAGTCTTACTTGGAATCTTTGAAAGTCATTTCTCCTGACCCCCAGAATTATATGTTCTGTTATTTTGTTTTACTTTTGGTGCATGTAAAATATTGAATGCCTCTTTTGTATCCTTAGTTGGATTTTTCAATATCRGAAAGATGCTTCATTTCAGTTGTAAATGAAATAATTATTTTCTCTCCCTGCAATTTCAAATCTCATATTTTCACTTTTTTTTCTTTTTCTGTCTCCAACTGTAAAGCAAAAGGTTCTGGGCAGGTGTTTGGACACCTTGACTTCAAGCTTGTAGTTGAACCTACAGATGCTCCTCCATTTACTGTTGTCCTTTTAGCCCCTTCACGACAGGAGAAAGCTGCATGGACAAGTGATATAAGCCAGGTAGCCTGCTTTGTTCTTTATCTTTTTTGTTACAAAGTCTTATTTTATTCAGAGTTTCTGAAAGCTAATCGCAGATAGGCTTGTYGGTTCTTTTTTGGAGGGCTGATTTGCTGGGATGTGTATCAAAAAAATTGTTACCTGTTTACATGAAAAAAAWTTGACTTATCAGTGAAATGCCTTTTTCAATAAAAAAGGTGGGATATAAAATACAAACTAGTCAGTTGACTAGCATTAGTACTAATTGTTAATTATTAGCATTTTGCCAGTCATTTTTATATCTACATAAAACTTATCCAGATATATATTTGATTCAGGAAGGTTATTCATTTGTAACTTTCAAACAGATCAAAAAACACTTGAAATACCTGACTGAGGATGAAAACTATTTCTATCTCATACCAATATCATATCCCACAGTCAGTATATGTGATTAGCTCTCTTTTCCACCTTGAATAATGGTGATCCTTTGTCGCATACAGTAACAAATCATTCTGATAGTGCATAGAGAATTCTACTGTAGATGAAGGACAGTAAAATAATTCAAAATACTTAATAGCAGAGTTTTTTTAATGTTTTTGTCTGAATCTATATATAATCAGTCTATTTGGGAAAAGAGGTTGAATGTACTCTGAAAGATCTGAACTTTAAATTATCAGATGGGAATTTAGATTATGAATTTTCATGTTTTGTTTCTGCATGCAGTGGTAATTACTACATAGATCTGTCACAGTGCTGAATTTGAGGCCTGCCCTCTGTTAATTTTAAGAGAAGGAAGCGATCAGACAAGTATCAGCCTGTTTTTTGATCATTTTTTCCTATGTGCCAGCACTACTGACATCATCTCCAGATGCATTATGGTCATGATGAATAGAAATTGCTTAAAACTAGATATTCTGAGTTGTTTTCTTCTGGTGTAATAGTTTTAAAGAAAAAAAGATGGAGATAAAATTTTCAAAATATAGTATGTGTTGAGAGCCTCGGTCCCACTGCAGCTCACTAGATCCAGATCTTACAGGCAGATGTGGTTGGAACGTTTTTAGCTATATGAAATTTCAGTGTATTATGTTGTTCCATTGACACTTAAGGTGTTAGAATGATTTGCTGAGGAAGAAAGATCCTTTAAAAAGTGGCTTTGGAACATGGGACACCCAGGAATAAGTCCATTCTTGGCTTGAATAAGAACTATTTTTAATGAGAAAATCATGTGCCGTCTAAGCAGACTAAAGATTAGAGTCCAGAGCTTTTGTGCTGAGGCAGGCTCCAAGCAGGCAGTACTTTTGGGCAAGCTTGCAATTGGCCTAATGAAACAACTAAAAAAGGCAAATAAGAAGTATCTTTTTACTGTTATGAAGAAATAACATAATACATATGTATAATTAGATGAATAAATCAGAAAACTATAAAGGCAGGAGTCTGTAGTTTTATGTGTCTGGGACTTGTTGCAGGCCTTATAAGCCTGCTCCACTGGTAGGCTGCTGGCTTTCAAGAGCAAGGCCTCTTGTGCTGTGATATCGCTATTTGTTCAGTATGAAGATATTGGAGTTGCTCACTCACCTGGTCTGTAAATTTCCCTAACTCTTACAGTTTGCCTATTTGTTCTCCAAGCTGAACACTCTTTCAAGAAGAGCTAGAGATGCATAACTTTGTTAAGCCTCGAAGAAACTCCAAAGGAAGTTTCACTTCCAGCTCAAAATACTTAGTTATGTGAAAGGACCCTGAGATGAATAGTGTCAGTGTGGTGGTAAAGATCTACTGATTTTTCTGAATGTGCAGATTAAAGGTATAAAACTAGAGAATCATGTTCTCTATAACTCCATCACTATTAAAAAAAAAAAAAAAAAAAAAAAAAAAAACCTTTTACCCATCATGTTGCACTCTCTGCAAGCTATGCTTTAGGCTCACAGTGATGTGGAAAAGTATGGGAGTTAGTCCATTTGTGCTGGTTTTATTTTAATGGCTTTCATTCTTCATTTTCACAGTGCATTGATAATATTAGGTGCAATGGTTTAATGACCATAGTGTTTGAAGAAAACTCTAAAGTCACTGTGCCACATATGATCAAGTAAGTGCAACATTTTTTTTCCTAGGAAATAAAGTAGCTTGTTTGGGCTTTAATAAAAGTTTAAAAAATAGGGCCATATAGTTGGAAATTGCAATCTTTTACTATATATATATTTAAAGTTATGTTTAATGGCATTGATTCTACTTCCAAATAAGCTGTTTTTTATTTTCTTTTTGAAATTGGTAGGAATGACTCAAAATTGTAAATTCCTAATCCACAAGACTGAACTGKATATGATCATTGCTTTGATTTTTCAGATTTTCTTTGATATTGCATTCATTGAGTTTCAGGTGACTAATTTTAACTCTGTTCAGCTAGAAGTTCATACAAGTGAATATTTACTCTGTGTGGTAATGTTCATAACTTCAATAGATTTTAAATTTCTGCAAAGTTTAAGAGAGTACAAAAGGTATCATTTTTTAAGGTACTTGATTATATTAGCCAAATTTTTCTTTTCCTTTTTTTCTATTTCTGAAATTTCATAACTTTAGTTGATCACGTGAGGGTAACATTGTTATTCAAAAACCTACTTCCTCCATCTTTGGACTCTCTTTTGTCATTTATCTTCATAGATTGTCMCTTTTTGTTCATAGGCAGCAGTATGTAGTGCTTGATCCTGAATTTCTAACACAGGAATACCTCTGGGCTCTGAGTTTTTTCTTGTATTGATAAAGTATCAAAATTCATTATATGTTTCCAGCTTCTGTGGTGACAAATGTAGCTGAAATTATATCACTACTGCACCATAATCATTCTTCCTCTTTAATGAAGTGTTCTCAATTTCATCTCTGTGTAGATCTGATGCGCGCCTTCACAGAGATGACATTGATATCTGCTTTAGCAAAACGCTGAATTCCTGCAAAGTTCCCCAGATTCGTTATGCCAGCGTGGAGCGCCTTTTGGAGAGGCTGACAGACCTGCGATTTCTAAGTATTGATTTCCTGAACACCTTCCTGCATACCTACCGTATATTTACTACTGCCGCAGTCGTACTGGAAAAGCTGTCCGACATATACCGCAGGCCTTTCACCTCCATTCCAGTCAGGTAAGCTCTTTTTCCCTTCTGTCCTCATTTTCTAGTAGAATTATCTGGACTTTGTTTGCTAATTTTTGTATCAGTAATGTTTTTATTGGATATATAATCGAAGAACCACCTTTTTCTTTCTTTTTTAACAGGTTGCCAGTTTCTAGATAAGTCTATCTCAGCTTTCCACCCTGGTTGTGAGCGCTCAGTGACATACAGATGTTGCATGCGTGTTTGTGAATGTTTCCACTTCAATCTATTCGGCATTGTTATCGTGTTGCTTTTTTGTTTCTTGCTCTCAGGTCTTTGGAGTTATTTTTTGCTACTAGTCAAAACAATAGAGGAGAGTACCTCGCTGATGGGAAGTCACCGCATCTTTGTCGCAAGTTTTCTTCTCCTCCCCCGTTGTCCCTCTCCAGAACTTCCTCACCCGTCCGAACACGGAAATTGTCACTGACCTCACCCCTGAATTCAAGGATAGGTGCCCTTGATCTTTCTGCCACCTCCGTTGCAAGCAGTCCTACCTCAGCCTACAGCCCGGCCACCTCCCCTCCTCCAACGAGCAGCAAAGTGCCACTGGACCTCAGCAAAGGGCCCTCGTCGCCCGAGCAGAGCCCCGGCTCCATAGAGGACGGCCTGGAGAACCCTCGCATTGACCTCTGCAACAAGCTGAGGAGAAGCATTCGGAGAGGTACCGTAGAGCTGCAGAATAGTGAGCCATACTTTTGGCAGATACAGTAGTCAGCAGTGTGAGCCTGGCTTTTGTCAGATTAGTGCTAAGTAGTTGTTCCTTTTGTTTGTTTGTTTGTTTGTTTCCCTTCCTGATCACAATATGCTGTGTGTCAAGCACTCTTGTCCTCTCTTTTTGCTGTGGTGGAGGCTGTGATGCAGTGTAGTTTCCACTGCTTTCCTGCTGCTGCCACATGTGTAGTGGGAATAGCAGTCCCATATTGCTTCAACTGCAGCAGACAGATAAGGAGAAAGAGGTGGAAACATTCTATCCTCCAAGAATAAATTTAGTCTCCCAAGGAGAAAAGTGGCTGTTGGGAGAAACACCAAATGTCAATTTGAACTTTTTCTGTCATGCATAATATGGATTCTTGGTTTGGAAGTTTTCTGGATAAGGAAACCAGTCCTACTAGGACCTACAACCCAGTTTATTTAATGTATATTCTTGTAGGCAATTTCTTTTTAAAACGTGTATAAATATATGTGTGTTAGTGTATGCATAAAACTATATGTTTTTACATATATTGCTACAAGCACTGTTATATCACTGAAAGATTATATCACCTTTCTGACAAGGTTTTCTCTTCCCTCACTTGGGAAACTCTCTTTCTGTGAATCTGTAGTTATGACCATTCCCTTATTATTCTTCTCATAGAAATGCTCCTCCATGGAGTAATGGGCTCTCCAGTGTTGCTTGGCGGTTTCACTGGAAGGTTTGGTAACTGTATTGTTGAAAGTAGTCATTCAACACAGATTATTTTCTCCAAGTTCTCTGAAACCTGAGTTCAGGTATCCCTATTACACATGCATTCCAATGYGTGCTCAGTTGACTTAAGGTGCAGTCATAACCTTGTTGGTTTTCATCAAGTATTTTATTTATGAGCTCTCATGTGGTTTTATTGTCGGTATAAATCTTTCCCAGCCCTTTGCTATCCAGAAGATAATTATCACAGAGTCTKATTAATGCAAAATACATGACCGTTTCCTAAAGGTAAATTCCATTTACCACAAAAAACCCCCAAAACCCACAGTACTATAAGAAATAAATTAGATAAAAATAATTTTAGATGTTAAATGACATGCACGGGTATTAGGTTTGGTATAAAAACACTGGGATAAARTGATGTTAGTTAATGACTGTTATTAAAAATACCTTTGAACAAAGCCCTCTCTATCTCTTCTTACTASTGCAGTCCAATACAGCCTCATTTGAAGTGGATCTTTCGCAGATTGTTGTTCATAAACATGGAGCCCTGAATCACCCTGAAGTATTCCACATTATCTGCAGAGCCACTTCGTGCTCATATGTAAAATGAGCTAATCTGGCTGCTTTAAAGAAGAGTTGAGCTAATCTGGTGCTTTCGAGAAGAGTTTTTTGATGAAATGACTGGAAAAATACGGTGTTAAATCTTTAAGTCACGTATCTGTGTTAAGATCCCCTACCTGTGATCTAATTACTTGAATATGATTTGAAGAAATATTTATACTTCTTAATTAATTGTACATTACGAATAATCATCCCAATATTGACATTCATACCCTTTTAAAGCAGGAGTTTTGGAATCRGTGTCAGTGGACAGGACAATTCCTGAAAGCACCTCAGCAGCGGATACCCCGGAGCTTTCCCCATGCAGATCCCCATCGACACCACGGCATCTTCGCTACCGGCAGTCGGGAGGTAAGACACTGATGTTTCTCACCTTTATTGGACACTTTAAAGAGATTAAGTATTCTAGTTGTAATCTTTCCAGGGTATTAGAAGTGAATAATCTCTGAATAATGTTTTACTTGTATTTTGCTTATTTTTTTGAATATAAAAAACTTTCAGCACATGAATAATATTACTCCACTTAATTAGCATAGTAATAACAAGACTTGGAAGCATTTGGGGAGTTTGGACAGGCTGATATGCTCTTTAGGAGCTGGAACTGAGTGTACTTAGACTAATACTGAATGGATTCTATTCTCACRAAAATCTCAAGACCTTCACAGATTTTTTCAGCTACCAATGGGGCTCTTTTGGGGCTCCATATGTAATTATGAAATACACAACACTCATTATTGTGAACGGGGAATGACTGTATCAGTTTCTTTGTGTGGCACTGAAYGTTTACAGATGGTGTCATATTATTTGTTCCAGAATTTGAATAAATCACTCAATTCAAGAGGAAACRTGAGAACTGAGTCTCCTTGAATAGCTCTCATGTGGCTTCTTGAAATCCCTCACAGAGCTGTGAGCTATGTCCATGAATGTTYAAAACGCTGCCATATCATGTAGGCCAAATTTCAAGACATTTTTTCAGGCCTGGGAATAAAACAACAAAAACGGAGCAGAATCTTCTCAGTCTTTAATAACTCACAGCAAAACTTAAATTTTAAACCATTAGTAGTCTTTTGTTATTGGGCATGTTTACAGGGAAATGGCAAGATGTGGGGGGAACAATATCAGATCATCTGAGATAAGTCAGAAGCAATGTTCACAGAAAGTTTGGCAAATACTTGGGAAGTAACCTGGGAAAACTGGTCAATCTTGTTATCACTGAAGTTTGCATAGGTTAATAGTCTCCCTTTTTTTTTTTTTTATAACACTAGTTTGTCAGTGTTTTCTTAATCTGTTTGAATAATGCTTATTCATCATCTTAGCAATGTCTTAAGAATTTTGATCTACAGCAGATTTAATCATACAACCCCCCAAAAAACTCATGTAATAAATATCATGGTATTATTTTTCTTTCCGTTAATATGAAATCCTGAGATGGAGACAATACCAAAAGTTTACTAAATAGGAGCATCAGTAAAAATTTCAAGTGTCATTGTTGTTTAGCCTGAAAAAAAAAAAATAAAGCTGTGCCTGGGCTAACCTTTCTCTCTCTCTCCTCACTGTGCAGTACAAACTGCTGACAACAGCCACTGCTCTGTTTCTCCTGCTTCTGCTTTTGCAATTGCTACAGCTGCAGCAGGGCATGGGAGCCCACCAGGTGAGAGGAATTATAGTGCACAAACGTGGGTAATAATAAGATACCTAAGTCTCAATAAGCAAATATTTCCTGTTTATTTACCTGAATACTAAGTAGCCACTGWTTTGTTTTATTTAATTTAATGGTGTTTTGCACTGAAGTCTTTCCTTTTGGGGGCTTTGTAGAGTACAGCCTCCACATGTAACTGGAGTGTTGGCTTCTGCTCATAAAGTCAGTAGAAAAATATTTTAAATGTAATTCATTTAATGATATTTCTTAAAATTGTTTTAAATAACAATAATCTGTATTAAAATAATGTAGTAGATCATTTAAGTTAATAAAAAATAATATTTGTCATTGTATGTTTCCTATTGGAGGAATTCAGACACTGGTTGAAACAGCATAAAATCCTGGAATTTTGACTGGTATTGTGTTCATTTCAATATGTTGTTGAGTTGCATTCAAAATCAACTTGAAATAAATTACAGATACAGAAAAAAAAAAGCATGGAATTCCATTCACCAGGTTCTTTCAGAGAAAAAAAGAAAAACATTAGTTTTAAGCTCTACTGTTGCTAAAGAATTTAATGTATTTATAATCTACATCTTAGTAAAAAGCATTTCCAGATTTAATGGAAATATATAYTTACTGCAAGTCAACAGACCTCAGTGAAACTGAGCAGTAAAAGTAAGTAAGAAGATAAAATGTCTTAGAATAAAATGCTTTGGTACCTCCTTTGGTACATGCTGCATTTTCTGCTGTGGTAGGGCTTTTAGACTGTTAATATAGCACCCTGTCTTGAGGATTTGCCAGACCCTTTCATTGTGTCTGCATGACAGAAGGAAGGACAAAAAGAGGGTGAGGAATGTTCCGGGGCAAAATATGAGAGCCAGGAGTTGGGATTTTCCCACTCTATCACCTGCCTTAAAGCGACTGGCATGAGCTTTGTGCCTGTGTTCTTGTGGCCTTTGGAAAGATTGTCAAAGTATCCAGGAAAATTTTGGACTATCATGATCAAACGGATAATATTTTTTCTTCCTGTGTTATATTGGAATTATATTTATCTTTGGTCCTCTTAATTTCAAAATCTCTCAGCMGTATTCTCCTATTAATATTTCTAGTTAAGTCTATGACTGAACGGTTAATATTTTATATTTTGATAAACATCTGCATTCTCTCTTTTTGGTATTCACTTGCATTGTAAGATTTTATTTTGAAAGTGCTATGTTACTTCTGTACTCTTCTGTGATTTTTTAGGAGATCCCAAGAATGCTCAGTTTCATGATCTTTAAAAATTTGAACTAAATAAGTATTTAGTCTATCTTTCAAAGTTATGAATATTCTCTGTSTTTTGCAACCAGACACTGCTAAGGAAAAAATTAAATACAGTTGCTTTTGCTTTTTAAAATGCATCGCTTTTTAATATTTTTAACATAAGACTAAGAGAAAATAAGATCTACAAGATGCTGTAAAAGGAAGTCATAATGTCTTGAATATTTTTTTGAAGTACTTTCTGTTCAAGCAAGTTGGTTAAGAATGGCYATTCTCTTGGTTGATGGGTTTAAGACAAAGTTTCTGCAGTAAAACTCACAAAAAAAGCTTCTCTCTGGGATCAATATGAGAACTCCAGGCTGCAAACTGCAATTGAAGCAGCTGAATCACCTATTTTGCAATTTGAGCGTTCTGGTAGCAATTAATCATGGTTGTGTTGCATGTGGAAGCTTAATGTTCAATTCTTTTTGTACAATTCAGAAATGGGGTTAAAGTTGCAGAATCATGTAGTTTAAATTTGGGCAGTTGAATTAATTTTATTTCTTATATGTGTTTATTTTATTTATTTATTTTTTAGAGTATCTACCACCCCCACCAGGGAGATACCCTCAGGGATCTACTGTCTCATTCAATGTATAGGATGGATGAAATATTTTTTGTCAGGGCTTGGTAATGAATGAGATTTATGGGGGAGGGGGCATTTTTTTCTGTTCCCCCCTCTGTTCCCTTCTTTTTTTTTTTTTTTTTTTTTTTTTTTTCCCGTCCTCCAATGGTTGCTCATTGCTGGAGATATTGTGAAGCAATAGAGCAGTATGGGAAAAGCAAGGTGACCATGGAAGTGATAGTGCTTACCTTGTAGACTAACTCCCAAAACCCACAAGCTCCAAAAATTTGCTGTTATGCAATCCAAAAATACTGAAATTCCTGTTTATCTTGAGCAACTAGAAGACAAGAGAGAGAAAAAAAGAATCCCTGGGAGGCAGTAGGAATTAATAGCCTCCATTAAGGTGAGCTAAGTTATTTTTCACCTTGTGAGCTYGTGCTCATGCTGTTCTTATGGCAGAAGAGGTTGTTGCTCTGATCATTAGTCCAAATTAATTCTTGTATTTTACAGGATTTTTTACATATGTGCACACAGAAACCAGCTTTGGAAATAATTTTAAACAGTGGGACATGCCTATGAGTTAGAATCCCAGGCATTTTGTAAGTTCTAGTTTAGGTATTCTTACTCTTCATAATCCAGGAAATCTCGAACCACTTGTTCCTCTGAATCAGTCTACCTTCATGTTTCTTTGTGGGACGGGAGGCTATTTCTAGTTGGTTTTATACTGAACATCAGTGAAATGTGTCTTGTTCTGTGTTTTAGAAAAAATGCTACACAGAGAAAGGGAACAGAGGTTAAAGAGGAAAAGTTAGACTGGAATCACCAGTGGAGTTCTGCAGAAGTCTGTGCCAGAGCCTGGGCCATTTAAGATGTTCCTATGTGAATTATAATCATTACTGTTAAATCCAAAGTGATGCACGTAAGGAAAAACAGCTTGAGCTTTTTATATGTGTGAGGATGGGCTTTGTGCTTAGCATTACTACTGTTTGGGATCCACAGATTATAAAAGATGGTTCCATGAAACCATCTCTGTGTTAGCAGCAGCCAAAAAAAAAAAAGGAAAGAAACATTTAGAATGGGTAGGAAAAGAGCAGAGAAGAGARCATAGAGAAGACTACTGGTGACACAGTATAAATCCAGAATTTGTGTGCATACTTTGCAGTATTTCACTACGTGCAGTTGTGATGTACCCTGCTTGAGATTAGAGAATGAGAACTGGAAAAAGTTTAGAGAACACAATCCAGGATTATTAAAGGTATCAAAGGTGTAAACATCCTTGCATTTGGAATTTAGGAAAAAGATGGCTTACAGGGTTGATAATAATCCACAAAATCAGCATGTCGATGGGGAGAGCTGACGGGCTATGAGATAGAAGACATCAGATGAAACTCACGGGAGTTTCAACAAGTCTAAGTTTTTGGTTCTTTGCGCAGCCAGAGACATTATGGATGCAAGAGGTTTACACAGGCTCAGAACCTGCATAGCTGCATGGCAGTGTTAATTTATTCCCAAACAAAACTTATTCCTGAGCAAAATGATGTTAGCCGTGTTCCTGCTGGAACATGGTCACTTCGTTTGCTCCCTGCCATCCCAGCTAGAGTTGTGCACGTTGTCATTTCYAAGTGCTGTGTGTTCCAGAGCTGCCTGTCCCCCGCTGCAGCATGCTGGCGAGCGCTGCAGAGAATGCCCAATTCTTCCCAAGAACGAGGTGACATGCTATGGGAGCAGCTAGGAGTGGGAAGGAAGCCTGGGCTTGGCAGGAAGGCCTGGCTGCTGCCGTGTGAGCATTCGCTTTTTAAAGGGAATATGAGAGGGAGAAGAGAGGGTGAGAAATGGAGAAAAAAAAAAAAAAAGTGTTTGGGGAGTATTTCTGACAAAATGTGATTTGCAYGTGGAAAAATGGGTCCTGTGCTCACAAAAAATATAAGATACTTGATATAATGGCTTTATTCTCTTCTAGTGATTTAAAAAGCGTAATGAAAATAACAGCCCAGAGTCTACACAAAGGACAGATCACTCACTCTCCCTTTTGATTAATTGCCTGTGTATGTCTGGTGCTAAATTACCTTTCACCAGTGTTATTTACCTGAGTATTTTTCAGGAGAGGGGACTTCGAAGCCTCTCCGTTTTGTGGCTTGTGCCATGTCTATCAGAGTACATTTTAAAAGATCTCAGTCAGCCTGCAAATCCTGTTTTATGCAGAGCAACTGCAACCAATTCCTTACCTTCTAGCAAGTGCATGTATCACTATGTTTTTGAGAAGCAATCTTAATCAGAAATGCTCTTGGTTGTCCTCTTTATCAGTTTCCTGGTGTCATGCGTTTTTCCATAGCTCTTACAATCAGTGTACAGAAGTGCTCAGATAATCCTTTGCAGATGTTCACCAGAGCAAAACCTGTTGCACTGATTTTGCTAAAACTGCTAAATGCAAGCAACTCTAGAACGCTTCCATGTGCCTGGATTACCGTTGCCACCTCATGAAAGCAGCGTAAGTATTAAAGTTGGGCCAGACACGTTCTGCAAGCTCTCCACTTGGCAGACTTTAGCCCTGCCCAATTACGAACACAATTTTAGAGGAATAAAAGTTAACTAAAAGCAACTATTCACATGTCATAGAGATTCAGATATTGCTACCTAACAGGTAATGTGTAGATATTTTCATTCTGATAGATCAAGCCCAGATAAATTAAGGCTGATTGCTTCTTTAAAATATGCGTAATTATCTTAAGAAAGTAGAACAAAAGTTTTTCATTGGAGGTGCTCAGCTATTTTACCTTGTGACCAGCGATTCTGCAATTAAACTGTCAGGCAGCCCCCAGTGTAACAATATTTTGTTTTATTTTGTTTATTCTGGCTTAGCAGAAAAGGCACTAATAGAATAACACAGCGTGTGCCAAATGATACCAAAGAGATCCTTTGTGCAGCTGTACGTAGATCTGTCACTGTGGCAAGGGGAGGCCCTGCAGCTTTCCACMCTTGTGCCAGGTTCAGTCGGAGATCGGATGATGCCCCTTGGAGATGTGTGTGCAGAGTAGTGAGGGTGTGCACTCCCAGTGCAGCCCACAATCCCTGAGCTGGCAAAACATGTATGCMTATACATTATGCTTTCATTACGTGTAGCATTTCCTCAGTTGTTGGTATCTTG